AACACACTTTAGTATCGATACGAAAAACAGTTTCGTTACCGCACAATATGTTGTGTTGTATTGATTCACGATGATGGTGCATATACGCAACATGCGAGTAACGAGATTATTATGTGAGTAATGATTAGGTACTTCGAGTCAGGGATCGTATTCGTTACTCAGTAACGAATACATACGGTTTGCTACAGCTCTATCAGCAAGTTCACAAAATTAATTGAAAACTTGTATAAACCAAAGCATTTACTATATTTGCTGAACAATGATTTTATTCAACTAACAATATTGTCAAATCAGGGTAGTCGCTTTGTAGTTATTAACAAATATACTTTTATCCCAACTAGAAGTCTCAAGTAAATTGCAAACTTTCGTGAACTAGATATTTATTTCGCCATATCCAACTATGCCACTCGGTCACTATAACCAAATCTTGGTAATTATAAGCAACAGTTTTTCTGCGCGTACAGACTTTAATTTTTTTTACCTAAATCACCTAATTTACTTGCCTAAATGATTTCTTAATATATTTGACATTCCACATTCGCCACATCCATAGTTTATACATAGATATGAGCAGGAAATTATGTTACTTATACGCCATGTATCAACGCGTTTGATTAAACTTAACAGGAAAACAATAACTAACCAGCACTTCAATGTTAACAAAGGTAATTGACGATTTTAAGTACCTTTCCAGGTGTTAACTGTAAAAGGGCCAGCTACTTTTTAAATACATATAACATTACTTATTTCCTTAATTTTGTTACTTCGCAAAAAAAAGGGTCCGGCCCTGGACATTTACCCTCAATGAACATACATACATACGTATGTAATATCGACCACCTGGGATTAAATAATTTTTGACTATCTTACCGTATAATTCATTAACAGATATGTAAAATACTTTGTAACCCTTGATTTTGCCATTCTGTCCGTCTACATCTGGAGGTGACCATGTTATATAAATTGATGTGGAGCCCAGCACGTCACATTGTGGACTCTCTGGAGGTGAAGAAGGTACTGCAATAAGAAAATAGAAACAATTGGTTAATAATGTCGTGAAAACCTTGGCCTGGAACTGAGACCCAAAATACATCAATAATTAATGGGGTCGCTTCACAACCTAATTGTATTTGAAAAGATCAGCAATAGATTTTTCCAAATCCGGAATTACATACATATCACGAAATTAAATATAAGAAATTATTTCTTAGTAAAAGAATTATATGTGCATCATGTTTTCCTCGATTTCTCTGTATTAAACAAGGATAAAGTCTTTTGCGGTACACTGAGAAAAAGGATTAGTTTCGACAACTAAAGGTATTTAGTTCCCGAATTTTGACAAGGATTGGGAACTGTTACTATGGGTTGGTAATTATAACTAAATATATTAAAACTTATAATATTCATCTAGGTTGTACCAAATCGTTCATTTAGTTGAAGGGTTTGGTAATACTAATAAATATTTCTTTGAAGCATATTCCTCAAAATTTCATTCAACTTAATGTATGGTTCATAAAAGGACGTTACTAAGCTCTGCTAATGCAGATAAGCTTTGTTTCAACACATGGTTTAGTCATAGTTACCAAATCTTAGTTGAGGCAACCACGATTTGGTTTGAGACCGGAACATGTTCATGCTTGTGAGTCACCCCTGCACTGAGAAAAACGATTGGTTTCGACAACTAAAGTTATTTAGTTCCCGAATTTTGACAATATTTGGGAACTGTTACCAAGGATTGGGAACTATTACCATGGGTTGGTAATTATAACTAAATATATTAAAGCTTCTAATATTCATCTAGGTTGTAACAAATCGTTAATTTAGTTGAAGGGTTTGGTTAATACTAATAAATATTTCTTTGAAGCATATTTCTACAAATTCCATTCAACTTAACGTGTGGTTCATAAAAGGATGTTATTAAGCTCTGCTAATGCAGATAAGCTTTGTTTCAACACATGGTTTAGTCATAGTTACCAAATCTTAGTTGAGACAACCACGATTTGGTTTGAGAGTGGAACATATTCATGCTTGTGAGCCACCCCTAAAGAATGCTGAGCGCTCTCTGAGCACATCTGTGTTTCATATACGAAGAGCGCCAGCTGAGCAGTGCACACAGTCCCACTTATTGAATCGTTTGAATGGGCTAGTATGCCGACCATTGTATTCTCCCAATCGTGCTGACCATTGCATTGTGCGTGGAAATCATCGCTCCGCTACCGCTGTTCGTATATGGGTCCCAGAGCGCTCAGTAAGCTATGGCATGTCGATCGCTGCGCTAGGTAGAAAAAGAAAAGTGTGTGCTATGACATGCACAGAATTATTTGTCTCAGTTTCAGTTTTTCTATCACCGCGAGTGGTTTCGGTGCGCGCATAGTTATTTAAAAATATAAAGTTTGATGCCAACCGGGGTTTCTTAGTGGATATATAATTTATGTGAATTATAATTTGAAAGTGTCTATTTAGCCAAGGAAAAAGCAAAGCAGTATACTTCCAGCAGATATTGACCTGGGTTTTCGCACGACTGTTCCTGTTTCATCGTCGTTTTTTAGGAAATTCATACCACCATATACATATGTATTATTTACTTTAGTAACTAACTTATGTAAATATGTATGTATTTTTTATGCTTAATATATGCAAATAAAAGAAGAAAGTAAACACAACAAACATCGAGTAAATTTTTATTTGTGTCAAACTGAAACTTTTTTTCCAATAATAAACGGTTAGCTGATTCAAGTCTACAGCAAGTTCACAAAATTAATTGATTGAACTTGTATCAACCAAAGCATTGTTTATATTTGCTCAACAATGATTTGATTCAACTAACAATATTGTCCAATCAAGGTAGTCGTTTTGCAATTATTAACAAATATACATTTGTCCCAACTAGAATTCTTAAGTAAATTGCAGACTTTCGTGAACTATATATTTATTTCGCCATATCCAACTATGCCACTTGATCACTATAACCAAATCTTGGTTATTATAACTAAACCTTTTTCTGGGTGTGAAGAATGTTGAACTCTCTCTGAGCACATGTGTGTTTTTAGGGTTGCCAGATTTCTTATGCGGGAAATCAGTACGTTGGACTTTTTCATGCTAAAAAAAATTAGTACTTTTCAGTACAGTTTTATTCAAAGCAAAATTATGTATGTAAGTATCAGACAAGACATTAAAACGCCTGAGTACATGTTTTTAACAATATTTTGGTATATGAAAATAAAAGTGTCATTCATTTTAACATGAGTGGTGTACACTAGTGGTGTACCATTGTACACAGAAATCAATAGATTATTTTATATTAATGACATTGTTGAATAGCAATAATGAGACCATCTCCATCTTCAGTCTTTAAATAGTCAAAGAATTCTATACATTTCATTTTAAAATTACTTTTAATTTGAAGTTCACTTTAAAAAAATTTTAATTAGAAGCCGGTTTCTCTCTTTGCGCCAGGAAGCGAACTTAATACTCTCAGATGCTTCGTTTGAGTGTGGTACAAAAAAAAATATACATAATTCAAACTGTGAAAAAGTACCACTATTTAAGGACTTCATAAATATTTCTCATGGCTTTAATTCATTTTTTCAACTATGGAAAAACTTTGAAAGACTAAGAATTCGCTGAAAAGAGTATCTAACTTTATGTCTTATATGCGAAACTCTTACAAGGTCAGTAAATTGCGAAAAAAGAATTGTAAGTTATAGGCAAAAGCCATTCGAATATCCAAATTTGTTGTTATTAAACTGAAAGTTAATATAACTAACAACGAAAGTCGATATAACTAACAACACTCGACAAAAAAACGTCAGCTTTATTTTTAAATAAATTAAGCTCCATCATATTATCGTAACTGGAATGTAACGACCCGGCGATATACCCATAAAACAATTGATCTTTTTATTGTATTATTAGTTTCTTGGGCATATCAAACATTATCTGAAACATGTCAACTATAATTAAATTATTTTCTTCTTACTTTTTACAGTACAGTTTAAGGAAGTTCCAACGTTATGTAAGAACTTTAAGAAAATCCTAAAGTATTTGGTTTGAATTGAAAATTCAGTAGAAATCAGTACAAATTTTGAAAAATCAGGACATTAGCGTACTGATTGAAGAAATGAATAAAATCAGTACAAGAGTTGAAAAATCAGTACTGTACTGATAAAATCAGTACGTCTGGCAACCGTATGTGTTTCACATACGAAGAGCGCCAGCTGAGCAATTCACACAGTCCCACTTATTCAATCGTTTGAATGGGCTTGTATGCCGACCATTGCGTATGCATATATATATATAAACCCCTACAAGAATTGTGTGATGGGAACTAACACATTCTCATTTATCTTACTAACACATTTGCAAATTTTGTGTTGGTTAAAAAGATACCACTAAATAAGGCCATAAGTCGGAGGAAGACGGAAGATCACATGTACACAAATGTTTACATCACGTTTTGCATATTGCTCTTAGGAAGTTGATAGAAGTACTTGATTGAGATCTCCATCACCAGTGAGCATAGTTGCCAACTTGGTGCTTTAAGCACTAGATTTCGTGCTTTTTGAAAATTAAAACGCCAAAAAAAAATATTTAGTGCCTTGTGCCTTTTTTAGTGCTTTTTTTCTGAACTAAAATTCCTCCGAGATAGGTAAAACCTGAAATATTTAAAGCTGTGGCGGCACTGAATTTACAAGAATCTACAAATTTAAATCCACTAAAATATAACCATGATTGATAAAAAGCTGAAGTTACAAACCCAATATGTTGAATTATATTCGCGTAAGTTAAGTATTTCTTTTTTCCTTTTCTAATTATTTGTATAAATTTTAATTTTTTTACCAGCTGAATAAAAAACAAAAAAAAATTGCTTGGCACTAGAATTTTGAGAGATCCTAATCCTTAAAGTGCCAAAAAGACGGGTTTTGGCTATATTTGAGGTTATATAATGAAAACATAAAATTTTTTGCTCATTTCTACTTATAGCCCTGTATGCAGCTCTCAAGAAAACGCTCAAGAAAAAATTGCCATTATTTCGCGTGCGTGTCCAAGGAATTTTGACATTTTTGATACTTCACAGTCTGTTGTCTCACTCTTTCCTCAAGAAATTATGGAACGGGCAAATATTTCTGTTGCAAACCTGGGTGTCCTTGTGCTCTTTTTTCACAAAAAACTTTAGAAAATCGTAGTAGAAAGCGTAGTAAATTTCTTAAGAACTGCGTACTGCCTCATTTTATATGGAGTTTTTGCTTTTCTTGAGATCTGCATACAGGCCTTTAGGCATCATTTTCATTTGTTGCGATTCGATTTTTCTTTCTCGAGATATACCAGTTTTAATGCGCAGTACTTCGATATTACGACGTAAGTATGAGCCATCATAGCATGTGTAGAGGCTATTCAATCGTTATGAGCGAAATATTTTGTGTGTTGATTTATGTATGTATGTATTCTTGTAAATATTGTTAATTTTTTGCTTTTGTTAAATACCACCTGTTATGAAAATAGCATCTTTTGATTAAAAAAAATTTGGTGCTTTCAGTGTGATAAAACGCTTTTTTCTCAAGTTTTTGGTGCTTTTTTATATTTTCGATGGAAAAAAGCAGTACAAGACATAAAAAAGGAGACAATTTTTTTTTTTAATTTGTTGTGCAATTTATTGTTACAAATTCAAAATAAATAACTAAATGGGTTGGTTTTCCAGTAAGGGCGGTCGTTAAAGAGATGGTGATCGAAGGGGAAGTAGGCGTGGCACCTCCAAACGACCCTTTTGGAGAGGGCATGCACCGCCACTGATAAAAATGTTACTCCGGACTACCTCGGCCCCCTATGGTTCCCTAGGGACTTCTTAAAAAAATGGCCAAAAGACACAATTTTCACTTGCGTTTTTTCGCTTGAAAAATGCTGAATATTCATTTGCACGGGACATTTTATATACCCTTGCTAACAGAAGAGGTGCCACATGAAATGTTATACACTTTTGACAAAAGAATAGGGGTTTCTCCTCTCTTCTTTGGCAACAA